TATATCAATTCATGTGAATATGACTGAAACTTTTCATTTTTTCTGAAAAGGTGGTGTCTATTTACTTGTGACCACACTGTGTATACGGTCATTTAAAAACCAATCTATCTGCAATAGCCCATCATACCATAGAAGAAAGTCACTAAAATTATGGGATATTGCGCACTTACAAGGAAAAGAAAGCCAAAATAAGTTGTTGTTATTTCTTTTTCTTGCGTCCAACTAACTAATAACATGCTCCACTAACCTAGTATATAATTTAGAAAAATATCTTGAAAACATTCAAATAGTTAGTCGAGTCGAGTCCTAACTGGTGAAAGCACTCCTATCTTTTGAATAAGAAGATCACATCCAAGAAAACAACAGATTAGAAACCAAATGTAAACAACAACAAAAACTTATATTTAGTCTTTACATAAAAAGTCAGTAATAACTTGTTGATTGCATAGGTTATTAACTCTGATAATAATTGTAGACTGCTTGCAGTAGAGAAGTCGAAAACATAATAGTTGTAAATGACAACTAATTCTTTTAGACATCAAAATATGCCAAACGTGTTCCTTCACAGAGCCATGCAAAAGTTAACACACTCTCTTACACATTGTAAATTCATACAATATAAGAACTGACATCAAATACTTCAATAACAGTCAATGATCTTATTATCCAGGGGTCCCAAATTCAAGTCCCGATTTTGGAGTCACTTTTCGTTTATCGGTTTTGACGTAAAATATCAATTATTACGATATAATAATATTACTCGTTCACTGATTTCTAATGCATTTAAATACATAATTTTGAATCTGTGATAAAATTCTATCTCTTGATCTTTGTACCTATCATAAATGGGCGTCTGCGGGGGAAGGGGGGCAAGAGGAAACTCTTTCCCCACTGGAAAATGAGAAACATAATTCTTTCTTTATTTATTCAGCATATGTATATGAAATTTTTATTCAACTCACAATTTCACATTAATTTGCCCTCCCCTGGTAAACTTTGCCCCTCCCTAGAAGCCCCATAGTGGCACAGCGGTATGTCTGCGGACTTACAACGCTAGAATCCGAGTTTTGGTACCCGTGGTGGGCAGAGCACAGACAGCCCATTGTGTAGCTTTGTGCTTAATTACAAACAAACCCTCCCTAATAAAATTTCTGCGGACATCCATGTTATCATATATATCGTTATAGTGTGATCATTCTCATAGTGAGCGGCTTTATAAATGAAAACTGACCAGAATGATTTGTGCTCTGAAGTAAGCACAGTATTATAAGATGAGTATCGGGTGATAATTATGCTCAAAAAAGCAATTTCTCAAGTAAAGTTTTCGAGATGATTGTTTGTTTAATTAAGCACAAAGCTACACAATGGGCTATCTGTGCTCTGCCCACCACGGGTATCGAAATCCGGATTCTAGCATTGTAAGTCCGCAGACATACCGCTGTGCCACTGAGGCGCTTTCAAGATGAATTTCAATATGTAAGATGGATTGTTTGATATAAAGTTCGATCCAATCTGAGCCAGTTAGCACGTCAATCATATCCCCCCCCCAGCGGCACACCGGTTGTCTGTGGACTCACACCGATAGAAACTAGGTTTTGATACCCGTGATGGGCAGAGCACAGATAGCCCTTTGTGTAGTTTTGTGCTTAACTACAACAATCATTTCCTTTAAGTTACAATAATAATTGTTTCACCACTCCAATAATTCATACACCACCAATTTGCATAACAACCTTTCTTATTACTGATACAAACCACAAATTATACTAGTGTTCTATCCAAATATTAGAAGTAAGTGTATTATTATTACCAATTATAATGTATCATCATATTGTTACGACAGCGGAAGTCGCGTGACATTGGGAGCATACGCGCTGGAGTTTTTAGAATTATCGGGGAACCCTGCGAATGCCCGAGTGTTTGCTAGACGCCCTCTTTTTTAGTATATAAGCCTGGCGAGAAAACCAGCGCAATGGCAGAGATAGATAGAGTGAAGAAATAGATAATTGAGTCAAGCGAACAGTAAGCACCATAAGTAAAGTGTGTGAATCACTGTGATTTATAGCGTGCGTTATAAAGGTTGTTAAGTATAAAGTGAATGTGGAAATTCTGTGTATTACAAAAAGTTTGTATCGAGAAAGAATAAACTAGTTTTAATCAAGAAAGAACTTGTATCGCTCAAGTTTCTCTGAAAGAATTTCTACGGGAAATTAACAATCAAGCAGATACGTAACAATATTATGAATTAATTATTTGAGTATGATTTCATCTTTATATCATTAGAAGTATCTACATAACAATAAATTACTTTTGAAAAAATCTAACACCATCTTACAGTTACCATTCTAATTTTTCGAACATTTTGTAAGGTATATATATATAAATTGCGTTAAATTATGTAATAGTTATTTTATTCTATAGTGGTTTTGCTATTCGAGAAGAGTTTATTCTACTGTCATTTTTGACCGCGTGAAAAATATATTGATTATTTTTGGGTATATATTTTTTAACACGTATGAATTTTACAGAATGAATTCTACACAATTTCCGGTTTAAACATTTGTCGTGCTGGAACTTTGAAGAAGCCATTAGAACTGAAATTAGTATCGAAAGTAATTTAACTGTTTGATTATAACAAAATATTTTGAATTTTACAAAGTTTAAAAGATTTAATCTATTACTCGTTAAAAATGGCAGTTTCTTATATGCTTGCTGAAGAAGTTATTTGAACAGGAAGTTAATCATACTCTGCTCTTACGTGATTCAGATGTACTGTCACAGTGTTGGTCCCTGTGTCCTATACCCGGCTTACTGCAGCTTCGCTCTAGGCCTAAGGTTACTAACAGTATTAATATTACATACTATAGTACTACTAGTAGTCTTTGACTTTCAGATTCGTTAGTCGAATTAAAACTCTAAGTACAAGTTAAAAAGATGTAATAAGTTAATTTAAGTCTGACTTTTTGCTTTGAAACTGTGAGTTTGATTAGTACTCTTTTTTTTTTCATTATTATTATTTAACTAATCGGTCCTACTACTACTACTAGTAGTTGTACTAATGAGTACTATTACTAACGAACTAAGTCTTAAAGTTAAACTTTGAAGTTAAAGTTAGTATCCTGAACTTGAAAAATTATACTTAAGACGTTAGACTAAGGCACAGGAGTTAAAACTTTAATGAAATTTGAAAGTTAGGTTGTTCAACTTGCACAAGTTTCAAAACTGCATTGCTGGTGTTGCAACGGCAGTGAGTTTACTATTGGCTCTTTTAGCATCAAGTTGTGATTTCAAATTACGTTGTTTTAGTTACGTTTTACTTTCATGGCTGTATAATTGGTCAAAATATCCTAAGGTTAATCCCTAATATAACCCTAGGACTAGAAGGCTAGGTAAGCTATATTTTATTTCATTTACATATTCCAATGTACATTATATCTGTTACACAAATTTTAAGATTAGCATATTTTATATTTGTAAGTTAAGATGCAAATCGGTACTCATTACATTGGCTTATTTTAATGTTATGCTTTGAAATGAAATATTAAATATTAGACTTCATGTCTAAAACAATTCACAATTGGATATCACTTTCTATTTTTTGTTTTGTCTTCAACAAATTTCTGTTGTCAAGATGAAACTTATATGAGATGATTGGTTAATTGGTTTTTAGCTCAGTACTTTCACTTATAGTGGTATGGTTGAATATAGGACCTTGTGTAATATTTTTTCTATTATTAACTTATATTAAAGTAGACAATTTAGCATTTTTTTAAGTCAAATATTTCATTAAAATTTTTTTTATAAAATTTTAAATGGACAAAAAGGAGCTTATTAGCCCATCAAGGATGTCCCTTCCAAGTCCCAACTATAACCACCCCTTACTACTCATGTATTCATCCAGTCTTTTCTTGAACTCAGTTGAATTTTCTACATCCACCACCCTTGAAAGCAGCTCATTCCAAAAGCCACCCACCCTGTTTGAAAAGTAATACTCCCTAAACTCCAGATGACTCCTACACTGCCAAAATATGAATTTATGCTCCGTTGTCCTGTTGTTTTTGCTGCTAATCACAAAAAAGTTTGATGGATCTATATTATCAATACTCTTAATAATCCTAAACACCTCAATTAAATTCCCTCTGACCCTTCTCCTCTCCATAGAAAACCAGTTTAGAGATTTTAGTCTCTCCTAATAGGACAATCAAGTTGTGATTTCAAATTACATTGTTTTAGTTAGTGGCTCTTCTCTGAACCTTCTCCAACAATACAATGTCCTTCTTGAGGAAAGGAGCCCAAAACTGCACACAATACTCTAAATGAGGCTTTACAAGTGATCTATACAGTAAAACGGTAATATCCCTAGTAGTGTATTTAATATTTTTGTAGATGCTATCCAAAATCCTTTTAGTTTTATTGCTAGCTACAATACACTGTTTAGATGACTTAAGTGAATTTTCAATCACAACACCAAGATCTTTTTCTTCAACCACAGTATTTAATGTATTCCCATTCAAATTGTAACAATAATTTGAATAGTGAAAACCTACATGCATCAACTTCCATTTTGGATACTTAAACATCATCTGCCACCTATTGGCCCAATCTATCAAATGATATAAATCTCCCTATAAGTCTGCAGCATCTTTGATACAGTTATCCAACCCAAAAATCTTAATATCATATACAAACTTCAAAATTTTGTTAGTAATTCCAGAGTCAGTATCATTAATATAAATCACAAACAGCAGGTGACCCAGCACACAGCTCTGAGGCACACTGCTTATAACTGTGATCCAGTCAGATCTAACTCTATTTATTACTAAGAGATGCTGGTGCTACTATAGCGTGAGTCTACCTCCCGTTAGTACTATAGCGT